GGGTGGGGTGGGGGGTTAGTTCCAGCAGCTAGGTGGGCTCTATTGTCCCCCTCAGAGCTGAGCCTCCGCCTACAGCCCAGGGGTTACATTGCCTTGGAGATGGCAGTGCAAACTAGCAAAGCCCTGCCAAAGCAGATTCTAGGATGAACCAACGTTCTAATTATTTCTTTATGGCTGGCAATTTAATATCTATCACAGGATGTTAAAAAGATCCTTCCTCTGCTAATTTAAGGGCACATTTGTACAAAGCAGAATTTAGCTGGGGCCGAAAGAGTTAACATATCTCCCTCCTTCCTTTGTTCTCTGCAGGGTAAAGAAGCCAACGGAAAAGAGAGAGATGGGACTTGCGAAGTCCTCTAAAAGCCTCATTATTTTAATCTGCTGGTTTCCTTTTCACTTTTGTGGCCAGAGATTGTCTTGATTTAGAAAAGAGAAGAAAAATATCAAATTGGTCTTTCATGTGTCTTTCAAAGGCAGAGCGAGCTGGAGTGTGTGCGGATGAATTCCGAAGGACTGATACACTTTACGTTGAGACAGCAGATGTCTCTCCTGTGAAGGGAAAGTCTTGTACAACAGGAGCCAATCAATCAACAGTGACTTCCTGTGTGTCAGATATTAAAGCGCTGCTGTCCCCACTTCTATCCCTGTTCAACCTCCATCGCCAGTGGGGAGACCACTAATCCTGGGAACAACTTTGCTATGAAAGCTCATTAGCAGTTACCACACTGTGCTGATTCATCCCCACAGAGACCAGCACTCAGGGAGGGACACTTCTGACTGATATTTCAATAAATGTTGGAGACCTTTCATCTACACCCACAATCCACATGTTAAATCTGAGAATTTGTTAAATTTGACATTTTAAATGGTAGCCAGGGAAGCTGGGCTAACATTCTGCAAGTGAGTTAGCCATAGTTTACAGTTTGCACACAGTAGACTTTGGTTTAATGCTTAAAGTCTGGTCTGCTGCTTCATCTAATTTAAAGAAAAACATTTTTTTCCCTCACTGTCTTTCACTGTTATGTAAATAGCACTGGATTTATTACCCCAGGTTTTCATATTCAGTCATCCATTATCACTATCCACTTATCCTGTGCTGGGTTGAAGTCAGGTGGTAGTAGCTGGTAGTGGCAGAGGGAAGTTGAGCACTGCTGGCACCCATCAGTATATACAGTAGAATATTGATATTGTGGGGCTGCAAACACGGCAGTAACCACTGCTGAAAGAACCTTCAGCTGTTTATGTTAGGGATCACACAGCAATGTTTTATTTTACAGAAAAAACTACATGCACCTTTCAGACCCATACTCCCCTTCGTTAATCTGACAGCATCTAAATGTGTTGGCTTCGTATCTGAATGAGCACCCTGTGCACCTTTTCAGACCGAGTGATGCTTCCATATCATATTTCAACAAGGCACAAGTCTAAACTGCATGCAGACAATTGAAGGATAGGCAGACAAAACAGATTTCAGCACCAATATTGGTCCAAAAACATCACACAGCACAAAAGACAAAAGTCTGTAGTCTGAGATGTCCATAAAAACCTACCTTTTCTGCTGTAAAGACAGAGTCAACAGCTCAGATTACGTCGACTCATCAGTAATGAATGTAATCTGGGTTTTGACAAAACCTTAACAGGAGCTAAAGTTAAGTTTTTGCTTCCAGCTGTTTTTAGGATTCTTCTCAACCTTATTATTACTTTTAATTCCAAATGATCCCCGACATGGAGACAGGATTGATCTAACGACAACTCACACTGGGTAGTTTTCTTCACCTCAGACAGGTGAGCTATGTCACATAGTCACAATTTATAAGCTGCAGTTAAACAATGTATTACATAGCACATTTAGATTTGATCTTTTGTCTATTAGAGTAATAATATGCATCGTGTCACTTGATATACTGTCCAAGTGCACATGTATGTAAAATATCAAACTGTGGCTCTCTTCATCATCACATTACTAATGTAAAAGTGACCTATGTTTTAATGACAGAATGTACTTTAAGCAAAGCAAGCAGTTCTCTTTAAAACAGTGCCTACAGATAAAGGTGGTATAATTACATGGACACAACCACTAAAAAAAACACAACACATTTTTTTTCAACTATACAGCCACTAAAAATATCAAAAGATGTAATAATCTCCTGTAGAAAAAGTAAGTGGCCCCAGAAGCACGTATTGCCTCCTTTAGCAGAAATAAGGTCTTGCAGGTGTTTATCAATTATCCACCAGTCTGTGACATCAGCTTACTGAAATCGTTGAACACTTTTCCTGCAAGAATTCCACAGTTGTGAGATGTTTGAGCTCAGTTTTTTACATTTATTTATTTATTTTTTACATGTACTGCCTACTTCAAACCTCTTGACAACATATCAA